AAAAATATGTAGGAATTCAGGTTTCTTCACTTGTCCTGTACAAACTGTCCATGAGGGCTCCTGATGAGTGCAGGGCAGCCTGACTGGGACTTTGTGTGCTGATGGTCCCCAGCAATTTGTGCCTTGAGGGCAGCACATTTCTGACCCTACCTGGCCAATGTTTCTCCCTGCTGGAGGAGCCAGGGGGACACCAACTTCTGGTCCTCCTGCAGCTGCATTTTCATGTCAGCCTAAAGGTTTTCTGTCTTAAAATTAATAAGCATATAATTTAGACTAATTTTCACAGACTTCTCCATAGCAGCCTTATCCTCAGATGACAGGAGCCTTGCTGTGATAACAGTATTTGTGTAAATTACTGAATAAACATTTCCATTTACTGTTTCTTAACAGCACACATTCATTAATACATACAAACATTGAAAGAAGAGACCCATTTAGTTTACAGAAGATTATGTGTGTTTAGGTATTTAAATATCCTTGCATAACAAATCTGAGATAAAGCACCATGGGGAGAAAGATGAAAAGCTTTGAGTGTCTAAACAGATTTCTGTGCCACCTGCTCCTTCATTGCTGTAAGTGGTTATGTGGTTTTATTTATTGGGAATATTATTTGCCTAGTATTTATTTTTATTATTAAAATTATAGAAAAAGCTTGCTCTAAGAATTCTGAGGACCTCTTACAAAGTGTAAATTAATAATATAAGTATTACATTTTTTGTTGCTGCAGATTGCCATTACAATGCTTTCAGTTCCTCCTACAATCCCAACTATGAGAGGAATACTGATGGCCAATCTCCAGATATAAACCCTCCTTCATCAATGCAATAATGGAACAAAGCATGGCCTTTCCCTGAACTGCATTCCTGAGCATCCCACTCCCTCCAACTGCTTCCAGCAAAGGGTGCAATGTTTATGTCGCTGTGTGTGAGTGTGTATCCACATCTAAAGGTTGTCCTTGTGTTTGTGCTCCTTAAATCCTTAAGATGAAAATGAAATATTGTGTTTTCTTCACAAGTCTGAATGCATTTCACACACATGCATGATGGAGAGTTGAAATCCTGCTCCTTTGAAGAAGGAACATGGGCTTGATGATGCCAACAGGGCAAATATTTGGGTCCCATTGAACTGCAGCCAATGGTAGTCCAACGCTTTTCTGAGGAGGAACATGAGTCTTGTAGTGGTGGTGGAATAAAGAATAGGGCTGCAGGTCTCCAATGCACTTTTTGGGGATTGAACTAGGGAGTTTGGTAGAACTCTATGAAGTAGTGGATCTCCATCTCTTCAAAATCCCATCCTGAGACTACAAGGAAGGGATTTATCTCACTTGATTCTCTATTAAAAGAAATTACATATATTTAGTTCAACTGAAAAAGTAAAATATGTTCACAGAGAGAAAAACTGCCATTGATGTCAATCCAAATTTGGCCTGTACTGAAAGTAATTTGGAATGGAAACTCTACATTTGCTTCTGGGAGAGCCTAAATTTAGTTTTCAGGCCAATACTTCTAAGTGATATAAGATTCTTTTGAAGAGAACTCAGATCAGAACTGATGGGAAGAGAATACCTTAAATCTTCTGGAAATACTATCTGATATCTGGGGTCATCTCAGATGTCTAGTGGTCTTTGAAAACTGAGCTCTGAGCTCCTGTTCTTTCTGCTTTTATTTGTTTCTTCAAAATGTCTGGTTTTATGGGTGGGATTAAGGCTCAGCTTTTGAGAGAGGCTAAAGATTTATGAGCAGCTATGAAAAAGTTATGGACCACAGTGTTCTTGAGTTGGGGGGAGGCTACTTTTAATGTTTCTACTTTTGAGCTTGCGATCATGTGCAAGTTCATTCAGAAGGCCACAAATGAGAGTGTCAGTTTATAAGTCACCAGGCTGTGCAGTCAATTAATTGCTGATTAACTTCCACTGGCTGCCAAAGAGAGTCTGGAAGCTGAAGATAAAATTGCAAGTCACTTTTGCTGATTTTCCTGTGCTAAGGATTTGTGTCATGGTAGCAAACTGCTGAGCACTGCATCTCAAAAATACCACTGTTTGAGGAATTATTGATAATTGTTTAGTATGCTTAGCACTCAACAAAAAAAAATAACACAGATATTTTCACCTGCAGATGACATAAACATAAGAAGCCTAAGTGGTGCCAGAAAAAAACCCTGAAGTACCATTTTCAGTGAGGACCATGAGTAGGATATCTATTGTCTCCTGGAGGATTTCATCCAGAAGCTACTTTGTCTTGCACATGGGAGGTTCTTAGTGAAAGCAACCAGAGTATTTAAATCACTTTCTTGCCAGTGGGAAAAAACACAGCAGTACAACGACCAATAGCCTTCATTTTAAAGGAGGGTGTAAATTAAAGAAGGTTTCTGTGTGTGCTCTCTCTGTTGAAGGTGAGAGCTGTGCCAGAGCAGCAATCTCAGCCTGTGGTTACAGGGAGGTGAAGGCAATGCTGAGCTTTGCTGTCACCCACGCTGGGTGACCTCAGTGGCATCTGCAAGGAAACAGAGAGCTGGGACACTTTTGGTCAGGGAGAGAAACACAAGGTTGACTCAAGAGGCAAAACAATGTAAACACTGAATATGAAAGGAGAAATGTGCAGCAAAACTGACATCCCAAGAATTGAGGGCCTAAGTGGGTTGCTTGTTTATCCCGCCGGTCAAACCTGGCTGTGCAGCAAAGCAAGGTCTCCTTTATTGTTTCCATGATGCTTACTCATCTAAAAGCCATCCCCCTTTTAGATTATTCTATTTTAAGGCATAATTCCCATCTGTTCTTTGATCTTATACTACATAAGACATTTAGCTAATAACATCATCCATCAAATACCAACTTGCCTTTAGAGTTCAAACATAATGGACACAGAGCCCTGTCCATCTGCTGGCCAGAACAGATCCAGCTTGTGAATGGACAGCTATGTTGCCTATTTTTTAATTAGCCAGCTTAGATCTATTTTTTAATTAACCAGCTTAGATCTGTGTTTCACACAATCCTGCAGGATGACTAAGGGGCACTCCACAGGGAAGTGAAACACCCTCCTCTGAAGGGAAGAGGGTTTGGTGCATCCAGAGCTGTGGTGTGTTTGTTGTAAGAGGGGTTTTCCATGGATGGAGCCTGCCTTCAGCCTCTCAGGGCTTTTTTTTTTTTTTTTTTTTAATATTTTAAATATTTTTAATATTTTAAAATATTTTTAATATTTTATAAAATATTTTAAGGATAACTTCTTCCAAACTTGGCCTTCTTCAGAGAAAGGTGTGTAAAGTAGAAAGACAGTGTTTTCTTCTCTGAGCAAAATTCTGAGTTTATTTGACAGAAACTTCAGGATTTCAGGGCAGGTTGTTGGAAGCAGGGGAATTGCAGGTTTGCAGAGAAGTATTTATACAGAAAATGCTTGCCTGCTTACCCAACTGGAGAGCTAGAGAATGTCAGATGGTTTAGTTGACCAATTGTAGTGAAGCAGCATATCTTGAATTAAGGCTATCTGAGATCAATCACAGTTAAAAAAGCCTAAGAAAAACTGGTCAGAAAAAAAAGGAGATTAATGAGTAATCCAGGGAGCAGGTAGTTTTTCTATGGATATTTTCCAAGTGCAAACACTTATCAAATTCTTTAAATCATTACTGTCAGATTCTTCACTTAGCTCCATTCCCTTGCTTCTCAGTGGTTTGCTTTATCTTGCACATGGTCCATTTGCTTAGGAAGGAATTTGATTCAGGATTTATATTCAGGATTTATATTCCACTGGTTTACACATGCCACAGCGTCCTTATCTCCAGATCTGAAACAATAACAGCAATTAAAAAAGCGCCTACATTTCCTTCTATTTCCTGGCTTGCCAATTATATGAAGTCCCTGCAGAGGGGAGCTTGGCTCGTGGTGTTTTGTGATTTCTCAGATAACAAGAGCTTCACATTTCTGTGGAATTCCCATTTGCCAGCGAGCTGCTGCTGCTGCTGCCCTGATTGATATATGACTGCAATGGCACTTTTCCATTTGACATTCCCCCTCTCTCCCTCTCTCTCCCTCTCTCTCTTCAACAACAGCCCTAACTTTTGTGTGTTGCAAATATAAAAGGCAAGCCATGTGACGGAGGGACAGAAGAACAAAAGCATTTGGGAGTAACAGGACCTCTTTCAGCTCTCCAAAGGGTTTGAGGGAAGGAAGGAAGGAAGGAGTGGTGCATTTTCCAAAGGTAAGCATGCAAATAAGATATTCCTACAGATTTTGAGTGTTACACGTACTTTAACTGTGTGCTTAATCTCTTAATCTGACAAAGACATGTTCTCCTTGTTTTTTAAATTAAATATTGTTTAAATGGAATCAACACAGCTCTAGTCCCTGTGTCTCCTTATTCCTGTGTCCTTATCTCCTATCTGAAGGTTGCCTGTATGTGGTCAAATGGGTGACCCAGGGTGCTTCTGAGCAACTTGGTTAAACACCTATTTATGTGAGCACGCTGAGCTCCAGCCTGCGACTCAGTGCTGGCCATGGCTTGTGGCTCTGGGGTGAATGGATATGCTGGAATCACCCCTGGAATCACCGGGAGAGCGCTGGGATCGCCAGCACCCCCTTTGTCCCGCTACAACAGGGCTCTGCGAACACGGGCAAGCCTGCTGCTTTAAAGCTGGACTGTTTACTTCCACCACCACTTACGCCTGCTGTTCTCTTGCCAGTCATCCGCTGGAGCGCTCAGAACAATCTGAAACAACAGGCAATATTTATTTCTAACGTTGCGCCTCACGCTTAGCGGGAGCGCTCGCAATTCTCACGTTATTATTTATCCAAACTTCCGAGAGGCTCTCCAATGGAGCGGACAGCGCTGCTCGTGGGTTAGCACAGATTGAGCCCGCACTCTTTATCGGCTGGGAGCTGCGGGGAAAGCCCCTGTGCCTGGCTTTGCTGGGTGCCCGGGGTGTATCGGAAGGCGGCCGGGGACACGGAGGATGCTGCGCGACCCCAGAAGGAGAGAGGGAGGCTCTGCTCCGCTCCCGGCCGATCATTTCGCTGTGTGCCAGCGCCAGAGGCACCAGCATGACTGCTCTCCGCTTCGCTGGGACCAAGGAAGGATTCTGTGAGCAAGTGTCAGGGTAGGGAACGGCGGGGCTCGGCAGCGGACACTGTCCGGAGGGAGAGCCCCGGCTCCTGCCGGACACAGGTGAGTGAACCCATCCTGGAAAAGTTCAGCGACTCCGGCAGCAAAGAACAGAGTGACAAAAAATTCCAGTCTCAGCTGCTGCTGCAGTGTCACACACACAGTGTGTGCTGGGGGAGAGATTTTCTTACTCATCCTGTGAAAGTTCAGTGGCTCCGGCAGCAAAGAACAGAGTGACAAAAAATCCCAGTCTCGGGACTGGGTTAGCTGCTGCTGCAGTGTCACACACACAGTGTGTGCTGGGGGGGATTTTCTTGTGGCAAACCTGGATTTGTGTGTGCCTCTGTGTGTGTGTGTGTGTGTGTTCTGACTCCCTTGGGGCTGCCAGGCAGATTTCTTACCCTACCCTGCAAGGTCATTGAAATTTCTCTCATAGCCTCCCTATAACACAGCTTGTTTCTGCCAGGGAGAGACAGCATGGCAAGTAACTGCTTAAGGTTTCTGCAGCTCTTTAAAGATGAAACATATATTTCCTATATATGCTACTTACAGTGTATTCATGTATATACATGGTACTTACAGTTCCTAAAGCTTTATAACTATGGCTGAGAGGAAGGAACTCTGCCTGTTGAAAAAGAACCGGCAAAAGGTTTTTTAAAACCAGTAATGGGACAAACTCACTTGAAGGCAAATGATTATTTAAAACCAACAGTGTGGACAAACTCACTTGAAATCAGTACTTTGTTGCAAAGTTATTTTCTAACAGAAGCAATCCAGCTGCCTGATGTGGCAATAAGTGTGGCTGTAATAATCACAGTGCTGTTATTTGTCCCTCCTTGAAAGAATATATCTACATTTTAGGACCTGTACCTATTATTTCTTCCCCCTTCCTTTTGAATTACTAATAATGCTCACTTTTGCTCTTGCTGTGGGACCTTACTCATATTTGTGAGTAGTTATACACATGAATAATTTCCTGACCTAAACAGAACTATTTGGTGAGTAACTACTCATCAGCTTGAATTGGGGATTCCCAATGTGACTTATAGATACACTGATATACTCTTGCTGCTAATGAAATATTATTTTGCACTATGAAACAATGCTTTAAGATTTCCCAGTTAAAAACAAATGTGGAAGGAATAGGTATTTCAAGCTTACAAAGTAAAATGCTGTTTGATTTAGGGACAGGGTATAATTAGGGGCTGCTGATGATTAGTTACAGGCTATTTCTCTACCTGAAGGTGTCCTGTGTAGCTTTCCTGGGTTTGTGCAGTGCCTGGTTTGGATCAGATTAATGTGTGCTGATGACTGGCCTTTGCTGGGCAGGATATTTGTTATGGACAGTCTTGGGTACAGTTTGCAGTAGCAGCACCCCAGGTAGCTCCTTAGGCATGGCTGATTTCCACAAAAGCCTTCTTCCCCACTGGAACCATCCCTCACTCACTTTTGAGGCTTGTGGCAGCATCTGCATGTTCTTGCCCTCTTGCCTGCCCAGGGCTGCAGTGTCTCCTGCCCAGGTGGGAGGGAAATAAGCCACCTCCTTGGGAGCTCACACTGATGCCTGCTGTGACTCGTTTGACAGGGAATCCTCCTGTGATTGGCTCCATTTCCCATTTCTCCTGGGGCTGGCTTTGCTCCCTGCCTGGCTTGTCAGCTCTCAGATGCACTAGGAGGTGCTCAGGGTTGTCCTTGGAGTTGGAGAGAATTGACTATCTATGGTGAAAGCTTGCATGAAACCACTGAGACATTAATTCTTGCAACTTGTCTGGTGGATTGTTGGCTTAACTGAAAAAAACAAAACTCTCTCTTTCCCCCTCCCCACCTCCCAATCACTATTTTAATCACAATTATAAATATTTGCTATCTGTATTATAAGTATTACAAATTTCTCTGTCTCATGCTCCTGAAGAGACTTGTCCCTGTGAGTTTTAGGAAGGTTTTGCTACATGAGACTGTAGCCTGCTGTTATTTGAGCAATCCACCTCTGGAAGTGGCCACATCAAAGAAACACACAAAGTCCCTGTGGCAGCAGCTATGGGGTAACTTGCTGGGGCAAATTTCTCCCTAACCCCATCCAGTGAGCTCTCAGAGTCCTGAGGGTTTATAACCCTTCCAAAAACTCTTGAGAAATGAAACCCCTGTGACTGTAACCCCCTCCCCATGCACAACAGGTCCTTTGGCTGAGCCCAGCTAAACTTTTGCCCTCTGTGATATCTTGTTCCCCTGGATCATTGTCGCTTGTGTAAACACGTGTTTCTTTTCATCAGTGTTAAGTGTTCTGCCTCTCAGCTCCCCTGCCCTTCTCCATGTCCTGGTATCTCGGGATGGGCTGAATAGCCATGTCCAGATCACCTTTTTTTTTCTGCTGTCTGACTTCACACTTGACAGTCCTTTTGCTGAAACTCAACTCAGTGGCAGGAGAATGGATTAGTCAGGTCAGGTTAGCTCAGGTGTCTGAGCCAAGAGCTCCCCACTTCAACCACCCTTCTGTGCATGCATATAATGAGATGTTGCAGTCTCTGCTGGCTGTGATCAGCTGTTATTTCCTTTTTATATGTGTCAGTGTGGAACATATTAAAATTTCTCAGTAGTGGTATGTTAGGAATCCCTCTGATGCCCCACCTCTAACTTAGCAGAACAATAAAAGCAAGGTTGTAGTAAGCCTTTGAGCAGCTGGTCGTCTATATATTCCTCCTTTTCTCACATAATCTAATTCAAACAGTTATCCGGGTAGCAGTGGCACTGCCACTTCCAGACACCATCAGTCCTTGTCCTGTTTGCTGGAATTTCATTGTGTGGTATGGAGATCCTTTCTACTGGAGTGTAGCCTCTCTTCTGGTGTGAGAGCAGGGGGCTGCTGGTGCCATGGAGACACTGGTCCCAGGAATTCCTCCTCCTCATTGCTATTTTTCAGCTTCTCTTTGTTATTTTTCTAGCTGCATCAATCATTTTTACTGCTCACGCTTGTCACATTTTCGTGCTTGTTATTACTGAGCTGCAGACTGTGCTGGGCCGAGGCAGCACAGGTTACATTGCCCTTTAAGACATGTGGGCTGAGGATCTGAGTTAATGCCTCAGCTCTGGTTTGGCAAAGGTTAAGCATACCATGGCAGTGACAATCACATTGCTGTCATAGCAGCACGGCTCAAAGGGAGTGGGACCTAGGGCAACGCTGCTCCCCTTGTTAGAAGACCCAGAATTGTTACCATGAGCCAAATATTTAGGTTCCCTAATTATCAGAGGATGAGGTATATGGATGGTGGTCTGAATGCTGCCTGTGTATAAAAGAGGAAAGGATTTTGCCCCTGGGGTCAGAAGAGAGGGAACATCCCCTTCAATCATGTGCTGTCTCCAGCATGCATAACACTCTCTGCTGGTCCCGGTGGCAGGGATGTGTTTGCTTAATGTTAAAGAATAAAAAGACCCATTCCTACTCCTGCATCTATTGATAATTACAGGCCTATGAGTTTGGTGGAAAATATGCAAAAGACAGAGAACAAAAACTGCCCACCTGCTTGCGACACTCTCCAACAGGTAGAGGACACATGCCTGAGTGCCCTAGACCTCTCAGACTTGTAATTTGGCCAAGAGTAATTTTGCCTCCTGTTGGGTCATAAGACTGAAGTAGAGGTAATTACTGAAGCAAATCCTATAGCTAATGCTTGGCTGGGAACACTTGCACTGCAGCCAGCAGCCACCCTTGCTGGTTTGCCTCCTGAGAGGGATGGGCAGCCCTAGACTGCTCAGCTCTGCACCTGGTGCTTCACCAAGGATAATCCCATCCAGCACCCTCTGGATGGATGACCAAGTGGAAAAATTGTATTCCTCTGCTGTCTGAGACTCGAGACCATGACTACAGTGCTATTCAGCGAGACACAAGAATAAAGAAAGAATCCAAGGCTGGCATCACCTCACCATTAAAAAGCTCTACTCCCTCATTAGAGAGATATCCCATGCATGCCCCTAATCAATCTATTTAAAGCTTCCTGGAAGCAGGAAAAGGAAAGAATAAAAATACAAGCACTCTTTTGTCCCCCAGTAGTTATTCTTTGGGAGTGCATTAAACCCTTTTCTCCGGGTTGGCCTGTGCCTGTCTGCTGGCCGGGCGCCAGCCCGCAGTACCCACTGCAGTTTGTTATTTCAACTGCTGAGCAGGAAGGCACCTCCTGCTCCCCCTCTCCTGGTACCTGAAGGGCTGGAAATATTCTTGGGAACTTCAAAAGCTGAGGGAAGTTCATGCAGCTCAAGTGCCATTCAGCTGGATTTGTTCCACCTCATGCACCAGGTCCCCACGGTGGGAACAATTCTGGGGCCTTAAATGAGCCCAGGGAACCAGCCGCATGTATGCTCATCCCACGTGTGCTGAAGGCCCCAGGGTGCTTCCATTGTCTTTAATGCAATTGCCATGTTGCTTCTTATGCTTCATATGCCATGGTCTTCCTGTTGTTTTTTTTTTCTTTTTTCAGTCTGCTTACAGTGACAGGCATTCATCTCCTGAAATATTAAAAGACTTAATGAAGTCTCATAGTAAAAAATGGTTTCAAGGAGTTTCTCTCATCACAGCCTTAGTAGGACCAGAAGATGGAATTCTCTACCATGGACAACCAGATAAAGAGGCTTAAATTTCCTTCTTTTGAGCCTGTTTTCCTTCTTGCTGCCTTTTTCCTTCCCCTCTCCTCTTGCCCACCAGCTGGAGCCAGCTCTGGCCAGGAGTGTGTGTTGTATGTGTGCCCTCTGTGCAGGCACACACTGCCCTGCTGCTGTGATGGGTGGATGGGGCTCCTGGACCATGGATGGAGACATTCCCCTTGGCATGGAAGGGGACAAGCTCCAGCACAGCTGGATGTCAGGAGAGCAAAACCTCTTAAGCACAACCTTGAGGGAACATCTTAACCAAGACCTTGGGGGAATATTCATTTATTTTGACCAGCAAGGGTCTCACTAAAACATTTCGTTTGGTGTTTGCCTTGCCTCAGGATGGGAAGAAACCTGTTCAAATGTTGTGTGGAGGCATTTCTCAGACAACTGGGGTTGCCTGTGCTCACCTGCTGCTGCCTGGCTGCCACGTGGCCACTCAGTGGCTCTGTCAGGTGTTTGACGGGCAGCTGCAGAGTGAAGTGAGGATTTTTGATAGCATGCACAGCAGGCCAGCTCCTTCACTGCTGGCACAGAAATGATCACAGTAAAATACCTAGATAAGAAGATGACTGCATTTACTTACAGAGCTAAAAGATATGCTGGAATTGACAGAGGCTCTGAGGTGGTTCTAGAGAAATCAGGGTCAGCCTCTCATCTGGGGTTGCCTCTCCTACTCCATGAGCCTCTGGAATGGCTCTCATTGTCACTGTGAGATTCAGTCCCACAGGGCTTCCCAAGCTCTTCCCAGGCATGGTGTGGATGGCTGTGTGGGCTGGGAGCCCCCTGAGTGCTGTGGGTGCTGCAGGATCTTTGGGAACAGACCACGCTGCCTTTGTCATGGCAGTGGAGAATTTAACCCTGCAGAACAAACCCTTGTGGAGCCTGACTGAGCAATTGGCCCATCACAGTTGTTTCCACTCCAATTAAGACCTTGGAGAGTGGAGCTCCCAAATCCTTATCTTCCTGGGAAATCAAAACTTTTCTGAATTTGATAAAGTTCTTGAGAAATCCATTTTCATCTCATGAAGAACTCTGTGGTGCTTTTTTTGTCAGAACAGCAGTGAATTGACACACACGCACACATATATACACACATATGTGGTTAGTGACACATTTTTAGGTCTGGAGTTTGGAGAAACTGAGTAGTCTTGCAACTCTTTGTTTACATAATAAACTCAGATTGAGGGAACCACATGGTAGGATCCAAGTAATTGTGTTTACTAAATATGCACAGCATGCAAGGCCAGGCTTAAGTTATATACACACACACCGCTGCTTCAACGGGATTTTGGCAGCCTCCAAAATCCAAAAAGCATAGAGTGACTTAAATGGTGCCCTCATCTTCAAGCAAGAGTATCAAACACAGAAAATGAAAATCAAACTCAGCAAATGAAGGCCAAGCTGAACATATATGCATGCCTAATATGGGGGGCTCAGGAAACTAGAAGTACATCATAAATGAGCTTTTCCACTGCTCCCTTCCCACCTCCCAGGGTAAAAGCTGTGCAGATCCAGTAGACCTTGGGAGAATTGCTCAGCTCTTTATTTTTTCCAAGATACATAGCAAAAAGGGAATTTCTGTTTACGTTCTCACAAAGTGACTGGCTAAATAATTCCAGATGATGGAATGTTCTTCTGTCCTTAAAGCAAAACAAAACCTTAGCCTTCACCACTCTCCAAATGATACTAAAACTATGATAAGAAATTTTTATTATTCAGAAAGCAGTTAATAAGAGTGTGGATTTGGAAAAATAACCTTAACTTTGCACCTAAGTCCACATGCAATACAGTCTTAGACTGTGTGTTACTAGGGTTTTTCTTTGGGATGTCTTCTATTTTTCCATAAAGTTTTAAGGCTAACAGCTGTAGCAGTTTTAGGTAACAGCTGTAAGAAGCTTTAGTATGTTATCTCTCTATGAAATACTGAAAATTAGGTATATGGAAAGGAAACAAAGCCATTGCTAACAAAATGTACTTCCCATATCTCAGTGAATTCTGAAGAAAATGTGAAGCAGTGATTTTCATCCACTGTTAGGCCATATATTTTTGTAGCAATTTTTCAGCCTGAGGATATAAAGTTACATTTGCATCTATTTCATCTTTTTCTTTGCAGGATGGTATAAAGTGGAAGGGTTTAGGTTTCCTTTTGGTTAGCTTGGCAGACGAGCTATCTACCACAGGTTTTACATGGAAAGAAAGTGAGGAAAAAACAGCTGAAATAGAAGGAAAATTTGCTCTGTGAAATTGTTGATTTTAACTAAAAAGTGTATGTTCCAAATGAAACAAAATGCCATTGTAATGATGATTTATGAGCACAATTGTACTTGCTTCTGTTTTTTGGACAGAAGTATAGACTGGAAACTACTTACGCCAATCCTGATAGCATGTGCTATCTAGGATTTTATAATTTCAGACAACATTTCAAAAAGGAATGCAATTTTTAACTTAAAAAAATAATAATAATGCTAAGTTCAAGTGAAATGCCATTGCTCAATATCAGCTGGAAATGGAAAATATTATTCCAACATATCTCATCATGGTGATGTACCTAAGTGAAAATATTTTGAATTTTTTTTTACAGAATCAAAAATCTACACCCTACCTTCCATGTGTTTAAATGTCCCTCTAAGACTTTTTCTTCTGTATATGTTATATATGTTATATATAGCATATGTGCTTGAAAAATGTGTGTTCATGCTTCCCATAGGTATGTCAGGAGATATAACTACACATTTTACCAGTATGTCTATGAACAACCATAACCACTTATTTCACAAGAGATGGATCATATCTACAATGGTTTTCTCTCTTTTTTCTTACAAATGTGTCATACTTTTTACTTCTTTCAAAATATTGTTACCAAAACCCACTACATTTCCTTCTTAGTGAAGTATCAGGGCAATTTTAAAAGGTTGTGCAAGTGTTAATACTTTTTGTTCTGTGCTTATCCTGGGGAAGGTACAGCCATTTCTCCTTTTCTCACACTTTTCCCTGTGTCTTTCCAGCTTTCTCAGAGAGTTTTCATGAGGCAGACTCTGTGTCATCCAATTATTTCCTGAAGAAAATGAGGGAGATAAGCCTTTGAAAACTGAGCCAGCACTTCAGATTTCTCCCACTGTATTAAATCATGCTGATCAAAACCATGGAAAGATATAGAAGCCCAGAATTAACAGTGGGACAGAGAGAATGGGAAATGGGGATCCCTGGGTGTAGTATCACATGAAATGAGACCGTCTAATATCAAGAAAATTTATTTGGACAGAGAGGGAATTACTGGGTGTGTAATAATGATTAACTATGTTGGAGGGAGACCTTGCCAAGCAGCATGTTTTGGTCAGCCTCTTTACAAAAAAGAATAGGAATGTAGGTAAAAGGTTAAACATGGGGAAAAAAATAGCGCATCCCTCCTCCTGTTAGCTAATCCTTGGGCATCATCTGCACGAACTGGAGTAGCACAGTTCACTTCAGGGAGGGAGTCTGTCCCAGCTCCCATGACCCAGAGATTTCTCTCCTATGATGCTGAAATGTTTGGAGGGATATTTATTGACATGAATGAGGCTGTGCATGATTGTATCTGAGATCCTAAATGTTTAGTGTTGTTTAAGTTCTTTATACTGCAAAGCCATATTATGTTTTTAATGACCCATTTGCTGAGGAAAATATGACAGGCCATATGTCAGACTCTGGGGGAAAAAAAGTATTGTCATTTAAATCCACAGTCACATAATTTTTTCCTTTCCTACTTAAGCACATGGATAATAGCCTGAAACAACAACAACAAAAATGTCTAATAACACAGAGCATCTTTGTCTCTCTAACACACAAAGCAACCCTAATAACATTTCTTCTCAGCATGACATTTTGGCTGTCACATCAGTGCCATCCCAACTTGAATGAACTCTGGAAGTGTTTGTCACTGCGAGGCACTCCTCTCACAGAAGTGCTGGAGGAGGCTGTAAAGCAATATACAAATCATCGAGCACTCTGGTGGGGAGGCTGCTTGAGAGATGAGTATCAGTCGGTTTAGAGGACTGCCAGCAAACCAGAAAATAATTTTGAAAGAGGCTTGTGTAAGGCAGTAAAGGCACACACATCAGCTCTTTAAATACTCAAGAGGCTCTGCCAGAGCATTTCTTTGTGAGTAGGGAACTGTTTTATCTTAAGTTTCTTCAGAAAGTCTTTGCACTTTCAACTGTACTGATGAGTATCCTTTGACTATCCTTCATCGGGCTGTGTTTAGATGGATAATTCACAGCTCTTTCAAGTTATATCTGTTTGTAGTAAAAGTGAAATTAATCACCCAGTTGGGACAAGGGCTTTGTGAGAAGGATCAAGGGACTGTGAAGAAGCAGCTAATGGAGATATTCTCCTTCCCCTGCGGACACAAAGCTCTGGGCAGCGTTTCAGGGGCTGTCCTGTACCTGTTTCCTGGAGATTCTCCTGATCTCCAACATGAAACAGAAATCCAGATGCCTGGGTAGATAGCCATATGTCTCCACCTGAACATATTTATTCCCAATTGATGGCTGGGATGGCACTTGGATATTATGGAATTATAAACGTATTTTTCAGATGCTGCTCTTTAATTAGCTGGGAAGAGACTGACACCCAGAAAGTGCTGCCTGACAAGCAAGCAAACAAAGCCTGGATGCGTGTGCATGGGAATTTGGTACTCAGAGGGCAGACAGTTCAGCCAGAGGCCTGGGTGGTTCCTCATGCAGAGCAGGTCACTGGGAGACCACTTTGCTCATGCCTTGGCTCGGACCTGCAGCATCCCTCCACCCTGGAGATGTCCCTTGTCCCTGCAGCTGCAGGGCACGGCCAGGCAGCCTCCAGAGCCACAGCTCAACTGCCTCCAGCCTCTCCTTGTGCTGCCTGGGACATCCCATATCATTCCTATCTGTAATGTGGAAAGTAGCCAAGCCTTGCCCCTCCTTGTCACTCTGAGTGGGAACACTGTCCTTTCGATTTGGAGGAGTTTCTGATGAATTTCATCACCAAGTGGAAAAGAGTGGCATTGCGCCACTTGTGGTGTTGAAAGTCAAAAGTAATATAATCTTCCTGAAATGATAAAACAATGCTAAAAGTAACAAGGCCTTGACATGTCCTTCCTTAAGGCCATATTCCCTACCTACTGTGGGGATGATGCTCACCCTGAGCAGGTTTTTTGGCTAGCAAAGTTTCTGAGTGCTTTAATACAATTTATGTCTATTTTCTCTAGAGGTCTTTTTGCTCAGGATTGTGATTTTTGTTGCTTTTATTCCAGCTGTGCAGGAGATTCTTTGGTGGATTACAATCTCATCAGACTCCAACTTGAGAAGAAGAATGACAGCTCAGACACTTAAACCAGACTTTTCACCATCCTGGAAAGGAACTAGCTTCCAGAATTCGGAGGGTTTTTGATGCTCTACCTCCCTCTGCTGTTACCAGCGAGAAGTTCCTCGACAATGGGAAATCATGTACTCGCAGCTTCGATTTCCATGCTGTCGCTGCTGGTGATGATGGGAGACACGGACAGTAAAACAGAGAGCTCCTTCCTCATCGACTCCGACCCCAGCCGCTGCATGAGGCACCACTACGTGGACTCCATCAGCCACCCTCTCTACAAGTGCAGCTCCAAGGTAAGGCTGCTAAAAATAGGTCAGAAACTGTTGTAAAATAGTGATAATTGTTAAGAATGTGCTGTTAGTTTGGTTGTTATATTGTAAAAGGGGTTAAAAGGGTAGTTATAAGAAATGTGGTACTAAATGTACCATAACACACCTCAGTGAAGGGCACCACGAGCCACCCTGGACAGAACTGTCATGGGCTATTCAAGTGTCTTAAACCTTCATGCAAATGAAGGATCCAAAAAGAAACCAATCCAAATGGACAAAAAACAGGATAAAAAGGGGTTTCTGACCCAGGGAAGCTGTGCTGCTCCATCTGAAACATCCGGGACATCCCTGCTGAAAGGAAAACCCAGCGCCGGTGCTGCAGCATCCCCGATAGGAACGCTCCTGCTTGGCCTCCTTGCTTTAGGCCTTTCCTTTTATTATAATAAATGCTGAAATCACTTTAGTACCGGGAGTCTGGTCCCGTTTTTAACAAGGCTCGCCTCACCCCCTCACAGCTTTGAGGGAAGAGTTGTTAAAATGAGCCATTCTGGGTGATTTTGTCTGTGTGAGTTCCTATCTAGTAGAATCTAGCAGCAGAGACATGCAGATATAAGGATATCCTGTGTCATACAGGATCTTATCTTGTGTGTACATAAGAACTGGGACTGGAGGTAAAGGCTCTTGACTCGCTTTTCACCTTTTCAAAAGGAGAAATTCACTATGATGGTAAAGCTTACACGCAGTAAATGACAAGATGGAAAGGAGCACATTTGGGATCTCAGCTGATGGCCCCAAGGAGATTAGCTAGTTTGGAAATTTAGATCATCCGTCATCCCATCCTTCAAGTGAATGCTTAATCTGGAGCAAGTTCATAGCTACTATAGGTGAAGAGCTGAGATAAAGAACCAAACTATAAAATGGCAATTTAAAAAATGTTATGAAGAATATTCCTTATTTTCTCCCTGCCCACCCCCTTTTCAAAGCCTTTGTTTACATGCAGAATGACACTTGGATGGCAACTGTAGGGCTTAGGAGCAGACAGAAATACAAGACTGACTTTCATTTGGGATTTCAAGCCTGAAAAGTTTTGTGTCAAAGTGGTTTACCAGCCTGTGTGTGTAGCCTACAGCCATTTATTTCATTATGTGGAGAAAAAGAATTGGGAGAAACAATGGGAAAATCCTTGCTAGTCCCTTTTGTCTTGTTCTAATTTGTTCTGTCGGAGTTAACACAGTGCATTCAGATGACTGGGCCATTCCTCTGTCCCATGGGAAGGGGCTTTGCCTCAGGCACTCACATCCCAGGATTAAGGGAAGGGAAGGACTGCCAGCTCCAGTGCTTTTGCCAGCCCTGTGCAGGCTAAGAGAGCGATGGGAGGCTGGTGTGTGACAGGGCTCATCACAAGAGGGGTGCCTGCCTGGTGGCAAACCCCAGCAGCAGGGATCCTGGGAGAATTTACAAGGAGAATATCCAGAGTGGGGATGGATGCAGTGCTGGCTGCAGGTCCCTTTGTGTGCAGGAGCTCCTTTGCTTCCCACAATCAGTGCAGCGGTGAGGGAATGCCACAGGTAGCTGCATAAAAAGCAGCTGAAATAAAGCACATACAGAAGTGCCCACAGAAGGTAAGACCTGCTGGGTGCTCTGTGCACCAGCGCAGCTGCTGCCCTGGCCAAAGCTCTGCAGCCAGGCTCATCCTGTGCCTGCTCAGCAGAGAGTGGCTGGCAGCCTCAAAACTGGGCCCAGGGAGGCTGCTCTGCTCTGGGCTGCCTCACACTGCTCTCTCAGCAGGGCTGGATGCTGGGTTTGCATAACCACGCCTGGTTCACAGCAGTGGGAGCCCAGAGACTTTTGCCCTACTTCTTCTGAATCCACACAGCAAAATCATCCATTACTTGAGATTCAGGAGAGGTCTTTTGGTTTGCTTTTGGGCTAGACTAGAACTCCCTACCATCTGGGAGACACATGGCAGTAACACAGAGAGCTGCAGACGTGCATGCTGTTGTGCAATACTGATTTTATTGCAGTTCACTTCAGCAAGAGGCAAAAGTGACAAAGTGGAGGTGTGTGAGTGGTTTCCATTTACAGGGATCTGTTTGCCACAGCCCTCCCCTCTCTGGACCTTTCTGATCACCTGCCATACCTAAGGAGAGGAGGGAAAGATGAAGGAAGGAAGTGGCGGAAGGAAGGAAGTGGAGGAAGGAAGTGGCGGAAGGAAGTGGCGGAAGGAAGTGGCGGAAGGAAGGAAGGAAGTGGCGGAAGGAAGTGGTGGAAGGAAGTGGCAGAAGGAAGTGGCGGAAGGGGCGGAAGGAAGGAAGGAAGGAAGTGGCGGAAGGAAGGAAGGAAGTGGTGGAAGGAAGGAAGGATGTGGCGGAAGGAAGTGGCGGAAGTGGCGGAAGAGGCGGAAGTGGCGGAAGAGGCGGAAGTGGCGGAAGGAAGGAAGGAAGGAAGGAAGGAAGGAAGGAAGGAAGGAAGGAAGGAAGGAAAAGAACCCAGTGACAATGCACTTTTTTTTTAGCTTCCCCAATGACAGAAAAAAGCAAAAAAAGCAATCAGGCCTTTAGGAGTGGAGCTGGAAGTAAAAACACAGAAAGCATTGTAATGAAATCCATAAACTTTCAAAAGCTTTGAGGAAAAAAAGTTGACATAAACGTTAGCAATTGTGGCTGCAAAACTCAGTGATTCTTTTCAAATCAAGCCTTTAATGGAAATCATGTTTCAAGATATTATTACATATTCTGGCTTCCCAATGGCCACAACAGTTTCAAGAACACTTCTATAACAATACTGTGAATTGTATGGACTTTCTCATGAAGTGGAAAATGAAAACAGTTTCCATACAAAGTGAAATAATTTCCCAGAAACTTCAAGCTTTTTTCATGTTGTTTGGGGTTTTTTGGTGGTTTTTTTTTTTTTTTTTTTTTTGGTTGTTGTTGTGTTTTGTTTAGTTTTAAGGTCTTAGGTATCTGAATCATTCTGGTAGACCTATGGCTTCTGTTCTGGATCTAGTAGCATATAAACACCGAGGAATATTAGACATGCTAATTAAAACTAGATCCAATGTCTGTTTATATATATATATATATATATATAGTGTTAAAATGTAACCAGGACAAAAAAAGGAAAGTTCTGTGGGAGTAGCTGTGGGAATTGTGGTACCTCTTGTTTCCACCAAGTTTCCATCGTGGAAGCTTGGAATGACAGTGTCAAGCAGAGATTTTGCCCTTTTTTGGGGTGATGGTTTCACTGAGATATCCTTTCTCACTCCATATGTTTTCCCTTTTGGTGCAGCATAGAGTTACAGAAGTCAAAAGTGGCTTCAGAAATTGCAAGATGTATTATGTTTGCTGTCTGTCCTGGTTGAAAAAGGATTATGTCCACTAGGGTTCTCTGTGGAGGCTGCCAATTGCACCCACATGGGAAGTAGATTTGTTAAACATCCAGCCAATATAATTTAATCATTAAAATCCCTTTTGCTCGTGGCCTCAGGGAGGCGATGAAAACAGTTTCCCAAATCCTTTGGAAACATAGTTTATTATAGTAACAAAAAGTACAAAAGAGACACAAAAGGGGGATGGAAGAAGGCCATTTGTTTCAGAAAAAGCTGTTTTCCTTTGTCTTCAAGGAAATGTTTTTATCAGCTCATGAGATATTCCCTTCCCTGACTGCATTGGATTTACCCTGACCGGTCTCCATCAATGTGCTGGGTTCCCTCACTGCTCCCAGAGCCTCCTAAATTCCAGTTCTGGCTGTCACAAGTGCTTCATCCAGATGTGCCAGAAGTGTGCTACCACTGACAGTCTCAGACTGAAGAATCCAGCCCAGGGAGACACAGAGCACATGAAGAAAGATTTAGCAGATGTTTGAAGACATTAACTCCTGAGGTAGCTCAGGAGATTTTCAGTAATGCCTGTTTGCAGCCAGGCCATGGGAACTATGTGAAAATCTGTTCTCAGCCCATCTGCTTTTGGGCTTCAGTTTGTTGCTGGAGGTGCAGAAAAGAGGACTACAAACACCATTAATAACACACCAGTTCACAGCTTCTGGATTTCCAGAATGCAGCTCAAATGATCAGAGTCAAACACTGCCTCAGATTCAGGCTGCTCTCTTTTGTACCTGTGAGACCATTGACTTTAAGTAATAATGATAATGATAACAATAATGATAATGATGATGATGATGATAATGATGATGATGATGATAATAATATTAATATTCTTCCCTAGCTGCTCACAGACCCACGTGGTTCCCTTGTTGTGGGACACTGTGCTTCTGGATGCAGCCTTGCAAGGTGACATGCACAAACTCACATGTGCAGGGGCCAGGGGGAGCCAAGAGGTGTCAGGTTATAAAATACCCATGTGTTTTTACTATATTTACACACCCACTCTATCATTGTGCCATGCATCATAGCATTACTAATTATTTAGGTGATAATCTCTATTGTGCTATAGCATATGAAGCAATAAGCAGCCAGAGCAATTGATTAAAAGGCAAAGCTTTCAAAGTGGATGCTATTTCCAGCTCATTTGCACATCTGCCAAAATCTACTGGTGCTGTTCCGGATTTATGAAGAGGAAGGTAAATTTTGGTTAGGACTTTAGGTAGCCCAGAAGGTAAGAAAGGTATGAAAATGGGAAATTTGATATTTTTTTAGCCTGAAATTCAACTTTATAACATTTGGTTTATGCCATTGGTAATAGTTTACTCTGTCATCCAAAAACAAGGAATAAAACCCACACTGTGTGATTCTATAAATACTGACCTTAATCTTATGGAAAACTAAATAGCCAGGAAAATTTCAGATTAAAATTAGAGCCTCCAAAGATTGAAACAAATTATTAAAGGCAAGGCTTAGAAATTATAATGTGTAAATAATAAATTATAAATACAGTGGCACATTGACTAAATATTGGCTGGGTTTGCATTAGGAAGCCAGCTGTTTATATTGAGACAGAGATATTGGCACATCGGGTAATTCTACCTTATAATTACTCTGCACAACTCTTCTCTAGTCCTGCCAGTTTCTTAAGGGTTTTATTTTTATTGTCATTTCTGTAAGTACCTGCAGATACAGGAGCAGATGTTCATCATAAAAATTCTTAGGGTAACAGTACCAGAAAGTGACTGATTTTTCCAGCTCCAGAAGCATCAACCACCAAAAGTCAGCCCCACCATACAGCAGTGTGTGCTGTCACATTTGGGCTGAAATCATAGAAATGATGGCTTGGAAGGGACTCTAGGGACACTCTGAACCTCCCAAAAAGCAATTTCTGGCTGTTGTACATGCCCCTGCACCACTCCTGAGGAGATTTCAACTCTGCTGTCTCTGAAGTCTTCAAACACTTGCCAGGAGCTGTTGGATTGCTCTTCACCCCCAAAATTTATTGATGATCTCTGTTTCAACCTGGTTAATTCTGTGATTCTGTGGCTCAGCCAAACATTTGGGAGCAGTCTGTGACAGAGAGGGCACAGCCTGGTGAGCTGGTCAAAGCAGGGCACTTAACAAGGGCTGTCAAGGTGCTGGGAAGGAAATTACTGGGTCAAATGTCCCAATCTGCTCCTTTCCTTTGCAATTCAGGCAGGGTTAGATACCTGCAGAGCTGGTGTCTAATTAGATGCCTTCACCAGCTGCCTGCCTGGGAAGTGAGGTTTGTTTAGCAAGGGAAAAAATGTAGATCTTTATCTGTGAGTAATGGGGTGACAGCACTGCAGCGATTGTCCCTTTCATGGTCTCTGCACACTAAAGACTCTGTTATTAAGAAGCTTGGTGTAGCTGATGGGTCTAAAGCTCAGGTGTGACTCAAGAGTACACTGAAATTTCCCTCCCACCATATTAGTACAAACAGCTGAAGTTAATTTATGTATGAATATGCAGTACCACAGAAAGGAGACCATAAATTTATGCTACAAATCTTAAAGGATGACAGATTTATCAGAAAGCAACAAAAGCTCATCTCTAACTAAGAAGCAAAATGGTACCAAGCACAGATCTTTAGCTCATGAAGACATCTTTGTGACCTGTGTTGACTGGAAATGTTGTTATTAATATATTAATACATTAATACATTTTCAAGCAAAACATTTAGCATGCAAGTACTCTTGCAAGAGTAATTTTTAAGCACTTTACAATGGATGGTCAGAACCTTTCCCATGGACACAGACGATGCTGGCATTTCCTACTTGATTTCAGGAATATTCTCTCTCTTTTATCTCATCTTTCCTTACAACTCTGACTAAAAAGAAAATTAAACGTTTGATGTACCTGCTTGCAGAACTTAGAGATTTGCAGCCAGTTGAGCCTGTGTAATGAAAGAAGCCCAAAAAGGTTTAACACTGTAAAGTATTTGTTGTCACATTTGTAGTTGTTCTTTCATATTTTCTGGAAAAAAACCATGAGATACGTGTAGTTAAAATGTAATGTTCTCCCTTGGTTATAAGAAAAACAACTGTTTTACCGCCGACTTTGGATGACATAATAAGCTGATATTGAAGTTTATGTTGGTTAAGCAAAAATGAGCTGACATGGATTTAATATTTCCTTCCCCATGAAAGTACAGGAGTCTGCTCAAACTTGTACAACCCCCCTTATCAGGGTGGTAACAGCTGTTTCTAGCACATCATTTGCTGAGCTTTAGAGGGCCCTTTCCAAGATTCATGTAGTGCTTAATGCTGCATCTCCTCTGCTCAAGGGGTTGTTGGGCAGTAGGTGGCTGCTCAGGAAATCTCTTTCCTTTAGTGCCTCTGGCTGTGCAAGTTACCTTGCTCTGGTCTCAGCCCACATTTGCTGGAGCTGCACTGTTTTTGGAAAATCTCACTAGGGAATCTTCATGGCAACCAGCTCAACTTCTTTTGCATTTTCCCTGCTTTACGCCATGCAGTGCATTTTATATAGATACAACTGATGCAATGATATACAGATACATATATAATTGCAAATACATGTTCGAGGTGATCTTTATCAAAGGAATGAGCTGGAAACATACTTCTTTAAAGCAATAAACGGAGCATCTTCTTCAGATTTCTACTTTACATGTTCATATATCTAAACTCAAGACATGAGAACCAGTTGGTGTGCATACTGAGAACTGGTAAATACCCAAATAAACAATCAGCCTGGATGATGATTTAAGGGCTTGACTGCCACAGATCTGGAGTCAGCAAGTCATGGATGCAGTCACTGTCTGGAAAACAGGGCTGGCTGTGACCATTTGGAGCCCTATGGTCAGTCCATGTCCTGCAGTCCTTGTTGGTTGTCAGTGCCAGGGATTTCAGGAGGAGCCTTGCTTTTCCTCCTGCCCACATTATCTCCTCCAGGGCAAAGCACACTGTGGGGCTGGGATGGGTTGTGTGCTGGGGACACGTTTCCTAACTAAAATAAACACGGGCAGGAGACCTTTCTCCTTTTTAATGTCTTTATTAAAAGTGATCAGCTTGGGTGGGGAGAACCGACAGGTCCGCACTCATGCCACCACTGCTCCCAGGAAGAGCAGTGCGCAGAGGTGGAGGAAGAGTGCAGCTTTGTCCACTGGTCTGTGGCAGAGCTGGCAGTTCTGTCCTCATCAAAGCATCCGGAGATTCCCAGTTTTTTGGTTTGACATTCAAGGTCCTCTTTATAGCCAACATCTTTTAGGTTAAGGTGAGGAGTAAAAAGGGTCTTAGTGGATACTGGATTCTGTTCCTCATGTCTAGACATCACTTTGATCTGTAAATTCCGTGTTGGCTCATTGTTTTTGGGGGTTTTTGTCTAGGTTTGCTGAGGGGTCTCTCCCGATGTCATTTGCATGCCAACTCAATGTCCCTTCTCCTTCACCATCTGGGTGCCATCCTCCAGGAAGCAGCAGGGTGTCACTTGACAAAAGGGGGAATTCTTAACCATCAACAACAGGTAGTTAACAAAAACAACAGGTGATTACAACAACAAACAGTTAGAACTCCATCCTGGCAGCAACTAGCCCAACCTGTGAACTCTGCAACTTTAAAAAAAAAAATGGACAGGTGTTCTACTCATAACACTGACCTCTATGCTTGCCTTGGCAGATGGTGCTGCTGGCCCGCTGCGAAGGCCGCTGCAGCCAGACGTCGCGCTCGGAGCCCATGGTGTCCTTCAGCACGGTCCTGAAGCAGCCCTTCCGCTCCAGCTGCCACTGCTGCCGGCCCCAGACCTCCAAGCTGAAGGCCATGAGGCTGCGCTGCTCGGGGGGCATGCGGCTCACGGCCACCTACCGCTACATCCTCTCCTGCCACTGCGAGGAGTGCAACTCCTAGGGACCAGGGGCATGGCACACGGGGGACAAGGGGGTGCTGCTGTGGGGAAAGAGCCCCAAAAACAACCCAAGGCCGGGCTGGAGCTCCCAGCACAGGATTGCAGCGAGGACAGGACTAACCAAGCTGGATTGAATCCGAGAGCAGAAGTACAAAATATCCTGGGTTGCTGGATGGTGCTGGTGCCACACTGTGGGCTGTGATAAAGGCGAAAGCACGAGGACTTGTTTTTTAGGAAGCCTTTCTTTTTTTCTGAAAGGATATTTTTAGAGAGTTTGTTCTTTTTCAGACTCGTCTCTGACTACAGAGAGGTGCTTTTACTTTAGGCCATGGGCAGCAGAGGAAAAGAGGAGAAGGTCAGCCAGATGACAGCACTGCAGTCTGGAAAGTGACATTTGGACAGAGGATGGGCATCAGTTCCCACAGACAACCTCTTAACCTATCAATTTATTCTCAGTTTTCTAGTTATACTGGCCTTCAAAGCAATCTGTGCTGTTGGCAAGGGTCATCTGTTACTGACCTAGTGGCCAAATGCTGGATAACTTTAACTGTGGTTTAGCAGAAATTACAAATAAACCATTGAAAAGTGAAGTGGATATGAAATGCCATGCTTGGAATACGCAGCCTTGCTGAAACAATTATTTGCACCATGTGTCATCAGAGTTCAGTGGCTGAGCAACTCTTGGGAAGGGAAAGGTCATGAGACTCACTATTCCCTTCTAAAAGTCAGGAAATGTGACACATCACATCTGTTGAAAAAGCCATTATTCAAAAGCTGAGAACTAATCAAATATTAAAATGCCACATACTAGATGGAGTAGTTTCTTAATTTAAATGGACCTGTTGATGTACAGAACCAGAGCTATCAAAATGATGATTAAACCTAGGACTTATTTTCATCTATAATTCTTAGACCATTGAACAAATACCATTTTGCCTTTCAAAGACAGGCAATCCCCAAATTCTAAATCTTAAAACAACAGGGGATCCAAAGTTTGGGAATGGTATTTGGCACTTGCTGAGAAACTCTGTCCCTCCTCCATCAATATGAGATTTTAGGAAGGTTCAGTCACAGTCTGTTGTGACTTCAAGGGAATAACATAACTGTTCTTATCTCATATTAAAATTCTAATGTTCTTAAATGGCAGTGTATGCAGTCAGCCAGCAGCTGTCTGTGCTGTTCACAGAAACCTTGCTGAGCCCTTGGTTTGGCAGAAGTCAGGAGGGTGTTGAGAGCATCTTTGCTGTGTAAGGATTCAGGATCAGGAGCACCCATGAGCACAGCCCTACAGTTATTGTCTGGGATAGGCTGGATTGGCTCCCACTGGCACAGCAGTGTCTGGCAGGGTCTCGTGGAAGGAGGGGAAATCCTTTCCAAGAGCAGAGTTCAGCTCATCTGCTCAACTGTGACCGTGTTCACAGGGGTCTGAGGATGAGGGAAGAGATGAGGATCTGACTCCATGTTTCAGAAGGCTTGATTTATTATTTTATGATATATATCGTATTAAAACTGTACTAAAAGAATAGAAGAAAGGATTTTATCAGAAGGCCAGCTAAGAATAGAAAAAGAAAGAATGATAACAAAGGCTTGTGTCTCAGACAGAGTCCGAGCCAGCTGACTGTGATTGGCCATTAATTAGAAACAACCACATGAGACCAATCACAGATGCACCTGTTGCATTCCACAGCAGCAGGTAATCATTGTTTACATTTTGTTCCTGAGGCCTGTCAGCTTCTCAGGAGGAAAAATCCTAAGGAAAGGATTTTTCATAAAATATCATGGCTACACTCAGCTCCACCCAGTTTGTTTGCAGCAGGTGCCAAGTGCAGCAGCTGGAGGATGCACACTGCTGTGTGTGACAGGGAGTCCTCAGGGAACTCAGTAACAGGAGTTTCTGTGGCTGCTCAGGCAAAGCCCAATTCCTCTGCCTCCTCCTGGTGAATGTGTGTGGGATGTGAATGCAGAGGTGACAGCCGCTAGCCCTGCAAGCCAAACCCTGGAGTAGGATGGCAGTCAGCAGTGGAAAGACATGATGAGAGCACAGAGAGCACATTCAGAGAAGTTTGGGGTACATGGGAAGAATTCAGTCTTTTGGAGATGGTCAGTTTTCAAAGACACAGAGCTGTGGGCAAACTAAAGGGTGAATGCAACCCCCAGAAGCTGAGGGGCTCAGATTGAAATGTCAGAACTGGGAGTGATGAGCCCCAGTGAGCTCATTAGACACCATGTGTTGTCCCAGGACTGTCAGTCATTCCTTTCACATCTGATATATGCTCTGAACATCAAAGGGCCAGTCCAGGCAGTGCGAGCTGGGCATTATCACCAGACTACTTTATATAAAAGATCATATGTGCATCCCTTTTCCACTCTCTTTCAACCTCCAGCATCTAAAGATCTCATTATCCAAAAAAGCACCACCCCCTACTGTTAATTATATATAGCAAATTCCAGTCCTCATTCAAAACGTCAGCAATACTTTTGACAGCCAAATAACTACACTGCAAAATATGTATGACCTCTAAGTGTGCTCACAGACACTGCTGCCCACCAGCAGCATTATGCAGCTATCTAAGGAAGGGGAATGTTTGAGGGATAATTGCTATATCCAGCATCACCACCCCCCAGGCCATGCTGCTTCTGGTCTCCTTTGCCAGTGCAAAATGGGGGGGCTGTGACACAGAATCTGAGTGCTGCAAGAGCCTGAAAGGGTTGGATGAGACCTGGCAGAACAGCAGGGCACTGGTGGAGGTGCTCAGGTAAGAAGAGACAGCAGGGTTCAGCAGAGACCATGCCTGAGCCAATTTAGCAAAAAAGAGAATATCTATAGTGAGAGGAGAGCTTGGCTGGTATTTATACCCAAACCCCCCTCACTAACACAGACCCAGAACTGTAAGTGCTCAAATCAGCCTCAAAAAAGAAATTTGTGTTTCAGCAAAACCTTTTGCCCCCTCTCCCTCCAACCCCTTCCTTCTACTTTTGCTCAGTTCCTCGGACGAAATCATCACCTTGTGACCTTAAAGGCTGTTGCCAGGCATAAATGTCAAAGTGAATTCAACATGATCTAATTGAACTGTTGAGTCCAATAAATGCGTGGGAGGAGTATAACAGAAATCATAAATGGCAAAACAAAACAGTTGTACATATCTACAACTTGATATTAAACAAATGAATCAGACTTCCAAATTCTTTTGGCTTTGTCAGAAAATATTCGGACTAGCATTTAAGAAAAGGTGAAGCTATTCTTCATAACCAAATTCCCCAAAGTCAGTTATAAATCCATATTTTGATACTTTTTTTGGTCAGTATTTTAGGAAACACAGTTCTGAATGAAGCACACCTATGTTAAATTCAGATGGGGTATTGAAGCAAATAAAAGTGAGGCTTCAGGTAAAAAGTACAGCATTTAGCTCATGGTGAGAAAGAGTCCAAATGGTGCTTGGAGATGAGCTGGCTTCCTCATTTACCGGTCAGACACCACTCTGGATACTAAAGCTCTGTATTTCAAGTCAGACTACTGTGTAAGTGCTTCTTAAATTGAACAACAGGGCGGACAATGCTTTCCAGATAGTGTGGGTGTTGTTCTTTGCTGGAGAATTCTCTTGCTGGGATTTGAATGAGAAGGCTTTGTCCTTTTTCCCCCTTCACTGCACCTCACCCTTCAGGCACCATAGAAAGGCTGGTTGGGCTGTGATCACCCTGTGGCTTGCTCAGGATGAGGTGATACAGATTTCTGACTGTCACCTCCCTGTGCCCTCCCCTCTTTTGATGAAGTTTCTGAAATGAGCTTGGCTTGTGATTTGTGAAAGTCAGCTGTCCTAGCAGTGTTGGGGTTATGCTTCAGCTGGATTGACTGCAATCATGGTGTCTGTGAAAAGGGGAGATTTCCTCAAACCCGTAATGTTTGAATAATCTGTCAGTGCCCCAGGAAAGCCAAGACCCTTGGGCCAACCAGTCTGTCAGTGTCCTGTTATGGAAACTCTTCTGAAACAGTCCTGTTGTGCCAGAGGATGGTTTGGCTGACTTGTTCAGGGTCACACACCAAACACAAAAACCTCCCTTCACACATTCACCCACTATCAGCACCCCTGAAGGACCCACATTAACAGTTTATGGAATAATATTTTATTAATAAAACAGTGACAGGTTAAGGTTCAAGGATTGCAGGTGATTTTGTCTGACTGCAAAGACTGTTCAAACAATACATTAATTCAAGGCAAAATTCTAACAAGCTCCAGTCCCAGTAAAAGCCACCTGGAGATCATTCAACACACACAGAGTACAGTTCTTACCCAAGGAGAGGGGTTTCACCACAGCTGCTAATTCAACAGGAGGACATCTTTATCTCTCTGTTTTCAGATGCTGTGTGGTTTATCAGAAAGTACCACCAAGTTTCCTCCTTTGCAAGGGTTTCAACAGAGCCCAGCTGTAACATCTGTACTCCACTCCACCCCACTCCCTATTTAGTCCCCCCCAGGTTGTGTGGGAATTTGGGGATGCTGACTGTGTTCTGTCCAGGGGGAAGGACCTGTATTTTCCCTTATAATATCATTACATTTTTATCCCCAGTCATTTTTCCACACATGGAAACCACTAGAGGCAAACACTAGGGCTTCAGTGATGTCTTTTGCTTGCAAGAAAAGCCTTCCAATGCCTCCAGTTTGTGCCTGTCAGAAATAATCTGTGATTTGCCAGAATAAAATAGCCCATGATGTAGCAAATTTTAATTATTTTTCTCCCAGTTTCAAAGCCACTATATTCGTTCAACTTTTGTAAGAATCATTAAATAGAATAACTCACTGCTTTCTTGGAGCTATCCCCCCTGACAACACCTCACCTTGCCTGCTGACCTTAAAGAACTTTGGCCAAGAGTTCCTGAGCCTGGCTGTGTCCCACTGGCCTTTATCAGAGCTTTTGTAAGTTACTGCCACAGGGCTCATGCAGAATAGGTGAGGTAAAGCTCACTGACATCCATGGCACACTACAGTCTGTGGTGGACTTTCACAGCTTAAATCTGTTTACCAAACCCTTCCAGACCTACCACAAAGCCCTGAAGCTCAGCCAGGACTGCCTGACTTGAAGGCAGAATGTTTCTGGGAAAGAGGAGGGAAATAAAAGAAGTCACTGTCCCATAGGAACACCCAATACTCTGCTGCTCTGTGTCTAAACTCAGTTCTTAGTGCCTGATGTGAGAAAAAGAGAAGCCCCTGAGCTCCCTCCTGTGGGTGAGTGTTTTTTACAGTGTCCAGTTCTACTTGTTTAGTGACAGTGGCTTCATAAAGAAATTGCCTGAAGTAGGATTAAACCCTCTACAAAACACAGTTCTGCTTAGCAGAGCATTTTTCTTCTGACTTGGGCCATAAATATTCTTTAAAAATCCAAATGCAATTAAAAAAATCTGGTGCAAAGAGGGAGAGGGAGTGTGTGTCTTGCTTTCTTTGACTGTAATTATTTGAAAGACAAGGAGCTGACCGCCTTCAAAAATAGATTACCTTATAGCTAACAGATAAAAAGAGTGATACTCTTACAAAAGTCCAGCAGGCTAATGGAAATTAGCAACCCAGTTAAGTTTTCTGTGTTGCAAACTTGTGTACAAAT